AACTGCTGGTACATATTGCTCTTATGTAGAATCTTCTGGGGCTACGAGGACAAAACTTGCTTCTGAATGGTCCTTCCAGTGTTCGTATGCCCTTGGCGTGCCTTTTTGGCCGAGTTGTTGTGTTCGTCAGAAAACTTTGCATCCGCCAGGGTCTACGCCTTTATCGTCACGCGTCTGGATTCGACGGAATAGTGCGTCATGATGATGACTGCGTGCGTTTGAAGGTAAAACTTGAGCTTTCGGGTTACAACAACTATCACCAAAGTTAGCTTTTGTATTCCCAATAGCATCGAGGAAAGCTTTCGAACTGTAGAATACAGGTAGTCATGCCCCCAACTCTTTTCGTATTATAATATAGCTTATTGCTGGTTCATATATCGTCAAACATGCGAATGAGTCTTCCGCTGCTTCTAGTTTAGATAGTAGAGAGGTAATGTCGGGTACTTCTTCAAGTCCTTGAATGTACATTGGCGAGCCTCATCCCAAAATGCATGCTTCTCTGCCAAAGCGAAAAAGTCTGCCAAAGTTAGATCTTCTTTCATGATCAATTTTTCGAATAACGGGTGGTCTGTTAGAAGTTCTTTTTGGAATGCTGCTCTAGCGATCAAGTCGTTGCATCTGACTATCTTTGCCTTCTCTGCTTTGAACCTCTTCACATAGTCACGAAGCAACTCCTTTGGGTTTTTCTTGACGTCGAACAAATGGTCGGACTTCTTTTTTATCGAGCAATAGGATGAATATTCTTTGGTGAAAACCAAAGAAAGTTTGTCGAAATTCTGGATGGATTGTGGCGGCAGCAGGTGTGTAAAACCAATCTTGCGTCTCACCTTGTAGAGTGGTGGTGAATATCTTGCACATGAGATCATCGTTGTTTCGATAGAGGATCATTACACTTCGGTAGTGCTTTAAGTGTCTCTTTGGGTCTTCATCCTCTTTGAAAGATGTGAAATGTGGCATGCTGAACTCATTTGGAGGCTCTGCCTGCTCGATCTTGTTCGTGAAGGGTGGCCTGCTTATGTTGGTCATGTTCCGTCGTAGTGCCTCGTCGGTGACCTCGTTACATTGGAAATTGCTCAATCGCTTGGTCAAGAGTCTCTCTACTTCTTCTTGAATTTGTCTTTGTTGAGGTAGGGGAGCTCTCGGCTGCCCCTAACAGTGACTTGCTGGTCTAGGCTGCTCTTCCACGTGTTTGGCTCATCTATATCGCAGATGTAGTGCGTGTAGCGCGTTCCTAACAAGTGAACGAGTTCTTCGCAGGCTGCCGGTTGAACTTGAGCCGTATTGATTGACTGCTTCTCTCCATCAGTCGTGCTGCCTACTCTGATGTGAGGTGGATGATGCTCCTTGCGAGCTTAGCCACGAATAAACACTTTGCTTGGAAGGTTGCTCATGTTGACTATCGAAGTGTGACCCCAACCGTGAATGTATGCTTGTCTGTGGACCTAGTCGAGAGTGCACGCTCCTCTGCACTCTAAGACGGGAGTATACACTATCTCGGGAGCCCAATTGGGAGTGTACACTGCTTGAACGCTCGGTTCGTAGCTGGTCGAGTGGCTGCTTGCAGGGATGCTGCTTGAGAGGTTCTTTGTCTGCCCTTGTCCTACGTCGGGACACCTCTTCTGGGGCACGTTGCATCTCGGTACGCTGCAAGAGCAGTTTACCAAGGTCGGCTGATGTGCAAGGGCGCTCGTCAACTCTATGACTTGTCGAGACAAATGTTGTTCTCCATTTGGGTTGGAATAACTTAGAAGGAATAAGTCTCCTTGAGCAGTGGAAGTGTGGTAGACTTCGAGCACGAGATTTGAGTTGGGAAACGTCAAATCCGAAGAAAAATATGGTGAAAATGCTCCCGGTTCGATCGTCAGTTTGGAAATTTAAAACCGGGACGATTAAACTAATCTTAGATCAATTTGGGTTACTTGGAAGGCCACATGAGCATACTTGGCCGCGGAAGCATGTTGGGCCACGAGAGTAGACTTGGCCACAGAAGCAGGTTGGGCCACGAGAGTAGACTGCTTAGCTGGAGCAGGCTAGGCCACAAAAGTGGGTTGTTCAGCTATAGCAGGCTGGGCCACGGGAGCAGGCTAGGCCATGAGAGTGGGCTGCTTGGCGGGAGCAGGCTGGGCTGGGAGAGTGGGCTGCTCGGCGGGAGCAGGCTGGGCTGGGAGAGTGGGCTGCTCCGCGAAAGCAAGCTGGGCCGCGAGAGTGGGCTACTCTACGGGAGCAGACTGGGCCACAAAAGTGGGCTGATCGGAGTGTGATGCATATGGATGCGAGGCTTGGGCTCGACTTGGCAGCACATTGAGTTCGCGTTGGGCTTGGAGTGACATGGCTTGGGTCGTGGCCTTGGTACTGTGAGCCTTGGATGGCACGGCTCGGGCCGTGGTAGCGGTGCCATGGACCTCGCCGCGGGTAGTGGTGGCCGTGGTGGCTACTGCGGTGGTTGCCATGGTGGAGCCCCATAGCGATGGTGCCGCTCCTATGATCACATTTAGCCTCGTGGATCGCTGTGGTCCCATTTCTTGAATATTGAAATTTTCACTTATGGAATTTTCTAATTTTCTAGCCATTGTATTCTTCTTTTACGTTTTATCAAAGAATTTTTGCAAATAAAAAATTCTAATAATAAGAACGTACGAAAAAATACAAGTAGACTAAAAATAGAGAAAAACCTTTTTTATGCGAGAGTCTTCTACGAGTGTGGATTTCTTCTCTCAATGAAAGCACCAATTTGTGGATGCAAATTTCTTCCTCCTTGATCTTGGACAAAATTGCACCTACAAAACAATTAACACCTTAGGGTCAAGGTCAAGAGTCTCACGCGCCCGCGATGAACACTTTGGCCTAAAAACCTCTGATGCCAAAGAGTATTGAGAATTTTGCAAGTATGTTGGAATGATCTTTTGGTGAAAATGGGAGCCTATTTATAGGGATATGGTGTAACTTATGGTTTAATGTGTGATTTAATGGATTAATTAGGCAATTAATCCATTAATTGGTTAATCAACACATTTTTGGAATAAATATTTTGGGTGTTATGTAATTTATATGGGATGTTTTGAAGGTTATGAAATAATTACCTTGTGGAAGATATAGGATGAAGATGGATGAAATAACTTTGAATTTGTTGCCTATTATGGGCACTTTTGATTTGGTTGAAGGATGATTGTCAGCTGCTCGCGCGTAGGAATCCCGTTGTACCTCAAGGGTATTTTTTGTCCTTTTTTGTCCAAAAATCCACGTGTCGCCTTATGATTATTTTTGGCTCCACAACGACCATCCGAATTGCTTCATCCAACTGCAATACCTCGAATGTAAAAACAACGTGTTAAATGATATAACAAGTTCAATATGGCACCACTATACACGTGTTAAATGATGATATAACAACTTTCTAAAGATGTGCCATATTTTGTATATCTTGTATATCACTAGGCGGATTTAGGTAATCCTCCCAACCTTCAAAATGTGCATTGAACTTGTTACATTGTGGCCTCGTCAACGTATTTCATCGGTTTCATTGGACATGCATATTCATATTTAGTTGACTAATACATCATCTCTTTATTAATTAAAATACTAAATAACATAACTTAAATGGACAACAACTAAAAAAAAAAAAAAGCAAAATACAAGAAGTAAAATACATATTAACATAAGATAATAACTTATACTTAAACCCTTGAAAATGGATAAACATATTTAACACCAGACTCTCGATTCCACTGCTACAATAACTCTTGGGTATGAATATTATATTAATATTTAGAAAATAGATTTAAACTAAAGTAAAAAAAAGTTAGAAAACCAATTAACAGGAAGAAAGGAAAAGACTTCAGACTTCGGACTCTTCACAGTTAGCGGCAAGAAGACGAAGCAACAGCGACTCGACCTCCTCCTTATAAATGTCAAATCTCTTCTTCCAATCTCCTATTTTTGGATCAAGTTCTCCGATTTGCTAAAAGGCTCTTCGATTTATTCAATTAGTCATCCATGTGTTTGGACACCGGCGAGGTTGCCGTGCAAAGACAGTGGGTTGCGATAGAGTCGGAGAGTTTCAGGTACTGCCCAACGCCCACCTAGGCCGCCCAGATACCTGCCTATCTCGACCAATGACCGCCTAATTCTTTTCCCTATTTTTCTTCCGATTTTGTTTAAATATCAGCGGCTAGCAATCGCCCAGTGCCTAAGCGGCCATTTAGATCAATTTTTAGAACACTGAGGGTGCGTTTGTTGCACCGGACTGTCTCAGACTGGACTAGCTTCAGGGACTAAGCTGGACTGGCTTAGACTAGACTAAGCTGGACTAACTTAGTGAAGTGTTTTGTTGCAGTGTCGGACTAAGAAGCAGGATAATGAAAACAGTACTGTCACCAGAAGATTGGGACTAAAAACGTAACAAAATCTGGTGAGCAATCGGCAGAAGATTGGGACTAAAAACATAACAAAATCTGGTTCAAAGCACCACTACTGTGATTTTATCTAACGCTACCATAACAGTAGCAGCTCTTGAAGCTCCATTGTCAAAACCCGAAGAGAGCCACAGCCAGAAGCACTCGGTGACCGAGCGAATTAACACAAACCCTTACCTTAGAAAGCAAGCAGCCGCGACCACCGGTCTGCAAGCATCTCTAGTCCTCGCTGACATAGCGAATTCAAAAATAAGCGAAGAATAAACATTGTATAACTGGAGCAGACATTCGGTAGGGATTCAGATAAACTTTATACATATTAAAGACGTCTTAGTTGCATTCAAATTATTTGCCCAATAGCAGAACACAGTTTTACACGTTCTCCTTCATCTAATATATAAGCACATAACAAATTTAAACAGTGGGGCATTGACAAAGATCGACTCCATGCTACGGAACTTAAATCCACTAGGATAAATCATGAACAAAATTAACACGATCATAGGTCAAACAATACATCAGTCATGCAGTGTTCCCAGTATATCCTCATCTCGATATAGATGGTACCTAAAACAGCAAAAAATAATAATTAATGAGCATCTAATCGGACAAAGGAAGTGAATGGTATAGACCAAAGCTTCCAGTCGCCAAAGCTCGAGTGAAAAGTTTCAAGTCGCGAAAGCTTGATGAATGGTATAGACCACCTATCATAGAATGAGATTACTTTACACTGGTGAGGGAGGGCAACAGTGTATATATTAGAAAAATAACGTCGCCTTGAAACTTTTCACGGGATAACACGGTGATGGCTAAAACGACGTCGCCTTGGGGTTCACGGCATAACATTTTGTCTAAAATTCACTGTTTAAGAATGTAGTAGAAAAATAATCAAACAAGGTGTGAAATTGCATACTTTAAATCATAAGTACAAAATCTGCATGAAAAATATTAGAGGATCCGGAATCTGGTAGGTAGTAACTCATCAAAGTTTAGTAATTCACCTGGCCAAATGGACTAAATAGCTGTCTCAGTTCTTTCTCTGTGGCCTCAAAAGCTACATTTTTCACAAGTAGTTTTGTCGAGCTTTTATCATTGTCAACCTTTTTAGGCACTTCATCTTTCTTGGCATGACAAAGTTGCAAAATAAGAGCATGCCCGTCCAAAATAGTTCCCTAGAAAATGGTAAATATTAATTGCAATGAATTTCCACAATTGTATACTGAATGCAGTAATTTTCACCAGATTCTGGCTTCACCTGTAAATCCCGGCAAACATTTGTGGCTGTCTCCACAGAATCGAACTCCAGAAAACCAAAACCCATTGAAACATTCTTCCCATTCTTCAAGTGTTTCTTTACCTGCATATAGAGCAAAGAGGATATAGACAAGAAAATATATCAAGTAAAAAGTAGCGCTTCTAGGCAGCTGATTATTACCTTAACACTTAATAGTTTTCCCCCCTTCACTTGTCCACTAAAATGCTTTATCAAACTCTCGTCTGATGTCCTAAAGCTCAGATTCTTGACATATAGAGATTGTGACTGGGAGAATGTTACACAACAAAGACAAAATAATTATTATATTGGCTAGGCAAGACGTAACAGAACAAGGAAAATGTAAAAGAAAACAAAAATAAGCCACAGGTGTAAAAATTAGTAGACAAGAAATGGCAGCATAAATGTAAATCTACAAGGAAACCCCCAAACGTTACCATCTTTAATCTCTAACAGAATAATCAACTATGTTAGAAGCAACAGAGCAAACCTTGTTTTGCAACACAAATGACTCTTACGACATCGTTATCATCAAGGGCATAATGACTAATAAGTTCACGGTGAATATGAAACGGAGAAAACCTGAAAAATGAAAAAAAATACGGATGTGCTTAGATTGTTCAATGTAAAAGAGAAGGAGAATAGCACACTGATGTGAAAATTACTTGACACACAAATTAAACCCTCTTTTTGACAGTTGTAGTATAGATGTAAGTAGGGTATCGTTCTAGGCCGGGGATTAGGAGGGATTGCTAATCTATTCTAAATTAATTTAAAAATATTAAATAAGATTCAAGGACACAAAACTAGGCTAAAAACTCTAATAACTCGAAACACACTTAAAATGACTCAAAATAATGAAAACAATTAAATTAAACACTAGGAACTGAAATGGACGGAAATTAAATTAAAAGACTAACAATAAAGAAAACTAACTAAATAATATAATTTAATAATGGATGGGTGTTTGGTTTTGATGAAAAGTAAATTAAACTTAATTAAATTACAGAATTGACAAAAACATAAAATTAAGGTAAAATGATAAATGACAGACTAGCTAGAGGGTTTTTCTCTCTACACATGACACATATGCAACCTAAATTGATTTTCAGTTGTTCTTTTCAATAAATTGTGAATTTCAATACTCCAGATTAACCGTGAACATCACTTTTTTTAACCCTCAGTTTTTCCACAAGTTATTGGGTTGGATGATTGCATACATACGACAACCCAAAACATTCCCTACAAGTTCCCTACATGAATTGCATAATAGAGATACAAGCAAGAATCATTAAGTTCTATGAAAAACATAAGCATTGACGAGACACTCGTTACTATGATTTGCATGAAACTTATGCCAAGAATTTACTTAACGTGATTGTGACTAGCAACCTTCACTACTTGTGAATATAAGTTCATAACGATTAGGTGAAATTCACTTATATTCTAGCATCAAATTCATGCATGTAAATTAAGTATGCATCCTTAATCGACATACAAAAATAAGTTATCTATCAAGCAGTTAAGCAAATTAAATCACAACTCAGAAATCACAACTGAAGGTAATCAATTCATATTACAAATATATTCATGGCTTTGAATTAACCTCTAGCCAAAATAAGTTTATTTACACATTATTAATACAGAAATAAAAAAATAGAAGTTTGGAAAGATTAAACCGAAAGTAAAACATAAGTTGGAAAGATTTAACCGAGAGAGAAAATTGAAGCCTTCTGCTCTCTGTTCCCGCCTTCTGCTGCTCCACTGGACTCTCTGCACGTGTTGGTTCAAAGCTGCAAGGACAGCTTAGCTCTCCTCTCTCCCCGCCAGTCTCTGCGTCTCTCCCTTCTCTCCTCGCTGACCTTTCTGCGAGCTGCCCAAAGGCAGCTCTCTCTCCCGCTCCCCCCTGCGTTCCGTGGACTTGGCTTCTTCTCTCTGACCTCGCTGCCAAAGGGCAGCGTTCTTCCCCCCAAGCTCTCACTTGTGCTGCGCAGGCAGCGTTTTATTTATTTTTCTTTTCCGCTGCACTAAGCAGCTTTTTTCCTCTGGATTGAATCGTGGCCACTTTCTTATTTTAGTTTCCTCCACCTACCACGTTGCACAAGCAGCTATTATTCCTCATTCGTTTTCTTTGTCACGCTGCACACACACCTTTCCTTTATTCTTTTCTTTTTCTTTGTGCTCCCACTAGCTGCAAAGGCAGCTTCTATTATATATTTCTTTTTTCCATGCTGCCAAGCACAGCTTATTATTAATCTTCTCCCCACTAGTTTTCACCAAACTCGGCATCCCTACATCCCACCTGAAACATGAAAGAAATAATTAATTATCATGAATTGGCCTATAATCCGTGACATAATTCTACCAATAACCCATGATAGAATGAGAACGACTAAAGCAATTTTCGACGAATTTATTATTTAAAACTCATTTGTGCCATTTTTATTTTCTTTGCATAACAAATCCTATAAACACAAAAATAACGTAAATAGCTCAAAAATATAAGGAACTAACTAAGAAAAGACGAGTGAATTTGAAGTAAAAATATATATAAATATGATCCGATCAAATACCCCCATACTTAGCTTTTGCTAGTCCTCGAGCAAAACAAAGAAAACATGAAAAAGTACTAACATGAAAAACATTAGTTTCCCCCTATGTGACCCTCATAGAGTTTCATTCGAGAAAACAAATCATCAAGAACCATAGCTAGCACCAAACAAACTAATCCAAGTTCATCTTCCTTATTCAAATATTAGCAGTAATCTTTGAATCATCCTTGAAGTGTAGTGTGTGAGATAGCCATGCTAATGCAATTTCAAGTTTTTATTTTTAAAATCATCATATGCAAACTAGCGACATTCTCACGGGATATGCACTCAATCACATATGTGTTTAGTTTTAATGTGTTTCGCTCAAAGAATCAAATGTGAAATTTCTACCATAAGCTTGCATAAAGATCACTTCTCCACAGTCATAATTGCAAAACTTAAATCAAGAGGACTTTTATTGGATGTAATGAGGCTTAGGGATAGGGTTATTGAAACGAAAGAATAGGAAAACACAAGTTCTAAGCTACATTGCAAGCAATTCTTTTCTTTAGATTTATAAGAACTCAAGCTCTCCAACGATTCTTCTGAAACCTCCAATCACACCCTTAAACTGAAACTTTAAAAACATTATTTTTTTTTTTTCTTCGTATACAATCTTTCTTTTTCTTTTTCTTTTTCTTTTTTTTTTTTAATACAAATATGAAATACCCCCACACTTATTTTTTTGCCAAACACCTTCAAAGTACTTTACAAACATTTCTCATAAGACAATCTCACATTGCTCACTAGCTTGCTTGGAAAGGGTAAGGAAAAAAAAATGTTTCAGGTATAAGGGTAGACATATTTGGTGATAAGAAATAAAAGGTTCAACAAACACGGCTCAAATAGGCAATCTAATGATATCATTTTTCTGTTGGGAAACATGGTTATTTGGGCCATGGTGGTAAACCTAATGCCTCTATCATTTCCAAGTTCATGTAATCAATGACAAACATTTCGAAAGATCGTTACGCAAGTTCTAGAGATGTATCTCACATAAGTTCATCACACATGAAAGAATAGGAGTGTATGAAAAATGCACACACTTTCAATAGGCTCAAAAGCTCACATAGGATGTATATGGTCACTAAATTCACATATGAAGCTTTACGTTATGCTTTAGTTTCACATCAACAAGGCTATGTGCATTTGGTTTTTCAAAGATGATCAAACATGTACAAAACTAACAAAAGAATTAGGAATTTCACAAAACACATGTTAACTAAGTTCTTGATGATCATGGTTCAAATTTTATTCAATTATATCATTGGGTCGGGAAACTAACAAAAAAATCTAATTCAAAACAATAAGGAAAACAAGACAATATTTTTTGGATTTTTAAATTTTCCGAATTTTTTTTTAAAGAAAACAAAAAGCAACAACACAGAAACAAATGAAATTCTGGAGATTTCTACCCCCACACTTAAACTTGACATTGTCCCCAATGTCAGAAAACACTATAACGCAAAATAAAAATAAAATAAAATAAATAAATAATAAGAAACAAAATAAAGCAATTAGACTGAAAACTTCCCTAAGTTGCAGTAAAATCAAGTGATTACCCCCCACGCTAAAATTCTGCAATCAACTTCAAGGGTGGAAATAACCAAAAGTTCCTGCAAAGAAAAGAAATAATTCAGTTAAGTAACGCAAGAAAATGTAAAAAAAATTGCAAATGAAAAATTGAAAATCACAATAAAAGACAATGAATAGAAACTAATAAGTGATCATTGGTCATGCTTGTTGATTTTCCACAGCGTTCCTCTTGAACAGGGTGACACTTAGCTTTTTACTTGCAAGTGATGATTTTATGCTATTGTACGGCGAAGCTTTGCTCTTTGGTTTATGTTGCAGTTCCTTATTTGTTCTCCAAGCAGATGTGGCAGCTTCTCTAGTTCTTCAGTTCGGACTCCTTGTGCTGGGTTGATTGTACGAGCTGCATTCTTCTCTGCTTGTTTCTTCAGCACGGCGGGCAGGCACGAGGTAGAGGTATTGGTCTGTTTCTTTCTTCAATCTTTCCAAGTGCCCACCTCTTGCTTTCTTTCTCCTTGTCCCTAGCTGAATTGTCTCCACATGCTTCGAGGTATCATTTTCACTTCCCTTACTGTCCCCCAGGCAGATGTGGTAGACGAAGAGAAAGCATAAAATGATGAAGATGAGTACTCGAGAGCAAGGCTAGGTAAGCAATCACGAAGGGGTTCCAGGCAGTTGGCTCCAGATCGGAAGATTGATACCAAATGCTGGCTGATTGCTCTCTTTCTCCTTGTCGTAAAACAAAGACAAGGAAAAAGACAGGGAGAAAGCATGATATGAGATACTCTTGCTTTCAACCTTCATGATATGAAATACTTTTGCTTTGGATGGGTTGTTCGCAAGAGTATCCCAAGGAATGAGGAACACTGAGTAACTTAGGAGGATTCTTTGGGAATGCATTTTCGGAGATGAAGAAGTGTTGAGAGGGTGTGCTTTTGCTGTGGAAGGCGAAGGTAGAAACTTATAGGACTTGTCGTCACAACCGGAACTGTTCTCTCACTCATTGTCGGCAGCCGGTGGATGGATGAATAGTACAAATTACGCGCTTTCTGACAAAGCTGCCCGTAATTTCCGCAAAGCTGCCAGTTGCATGTGACAAATGCTGACTAGGCTGAGAGAGACAGATGGTTGGAATCGGCACTTCGACAGACTGCCCGTGATTTTCGCAGAGCTGAGTTTGCGTGTGACGGGTGACAACACGTCTGGACGAATTGATCTTGCGAAATCCGGGGTTCGGCTCGTGGTTTCTGAGCAAGCCCAACTTTTAAGAAATTAAATGCCTCTTTTGAGAAAAGAATCCGGCTTTTGAGAACGGAGCCCCGACTCTTCGATTTGCGAGAGGACGCTTCTTCGATTTCTGAGGAGCGCCTCTTTGATTTCTTCTTTTTATAGAGGCGCTAATTTTGTTCCACAACACACTTGAGCTCCCTCTTGTAAACACTCCCTTCTTGCACTTGTTTAATCTTGATCAGTCCGACTCTCTTCTTTCTTCACCACCTCTGAAAAATGTCTGGCCCTTCCGATCGTCGTTTTGACTTGAACCGTGGTGAAGAGGCAGCTCCGCCTTCACCAGACAACATATGGCGCCCATCTTTCATATCCCCTACCGGTCCTCTTACCGTTGGGGATTCAGTGATGAAAAATGACATGACTGCAGCGGTGGTGGCCCGGAACCTTGTCACCCCCAGAGATAACAGACTGCTCGCTAGACAGTCTGATGAATTGGCGGTTAAGGAGTCTCTGGCTCTTAGCGTGCAGTGTGCCGGTTCCGTGTCCAACATGGCCCAACGCCTATTTGCCAGAACCCGTCACGTTGAATCGTTGGTGGCTGAAATACAGAGTCTCAAAGAGGAGATTAAAGGACTCAAGCATGAAAATAAACAATTGCACAAGCTCGCACACAGCTATGCCACCAGCATGAAGAGGAAGATTGACCAGATGCAAGACACCGATGGTCAAATTTTACTTGATCATCGGAGGTTTGTGGGTTTGTTCCAACAACATCTGCCTTCGTCTTCTGGAGCGGCACCGCGTAGTGAAGCTCCAACTGATCAACCTCTGCCGCCTCCTCCTTCTGTGGCCCCGCCGACTGCTGAAGCACCATCCGACCAATGAATACTATTAGTTTACATCATTGTAAAATATTTGTACTTTTTTTTTTTTTAAGTGTTTATTTTTTTTTTTATCATTAATTTTAAATTTTATCTTCTTTTTTTTTTTTTTTTTTTTTTATTATATATTTTTTTTTATATGTAAATTAAAGTAGAAAGACTTTGGTTAACCTTCCCCCACACTTAAACTAAATAACACAAACTCACAGAAATCAAACAAATAACACAACTAACTAAACAAAACAAAATGAAAGCATTAAAGATAAGGGTGTAAAAATGCAAATCTGATTGGGTTAGCGATTCCAAAGTCTCCCTTCGTTGAATGCTTGGGTTGCCTCCCAAGAAGCGCTTGATTTAACGTCTTTAGCCGGACGCATCTTTCCTTTAAATTTCCCTCAGCTCCATTTGAACCTAAAATCAAAGAAAGAAAAATAAATCAAATATCAAAAGTAAAATACACAAACACCAATATAAACATAAACAAAAACAAAAATAAAAGGATTAGCAAAGTTGCTAATCCCCGGCAACGGTGCCAAAATTTGATGTGAAATTTACTTGACACACAAATTAAACCCTCTTTTTGACAGTTGTAGTATAGATGTAAGTAGGGTATCGTTCTAGGCCGGGGATTAGGAGGGATTGCTAATCTATTCTAAATTAATTTAAAAATATTAAATAAGACTCAAGGACACAAAACTATGCTAAAAACTCTAATAACTCGAAACACACTTAAAATGACTCAAAATAATGAAAACAATTAAATTAAACACTAGGAACTGAAATGGACGGAAATTAAATTAAAAGACTAACAATAAAGAAAACTAACTAAATAATATAATTTAATAATGGATGGGTGTTTGGTTTTGATGAAAAGTAAATTAAACTTAATTAAATTACAGAATTGACAAAAACATAAAATTAAGGTAAAATGATGATAAATGATAGACTAGCTAGAGGGTTTTTCTCTACACATGACACATATGCAACCTAAATTGATTTTCAGTTGTTCTTTCAATAAATTGTGAATTTCAATACTCCAGATTAACCGTGAACATCACTTTTTTTAACCCTCAGTTTTTCCACAAGTTATTGGGTTGGATGATTGCATACGACAACCCAAAACATTCCCTACAAGTTTCCCTACATGAATTGCATAATAGAGATACAAGCAAGAATCATTAAGTTCTATGAAAAACATAAGCATTGACGAGACACTCGTTACTATGATTTGCATGAAACTTATGCCAAGAATTTACTTAACGTGATTGTGACTAGCAACCTTCACTACTTGTGAATATAAGTTCATAACGATTAGGTGAAATTCACTTATATTCTAGCATCAAATTCATGCATGTAAATTAAGTATGCATCCTTAATCGACATACAAAAATAAGTTATCTATCAAGCAGTTAAGCAAATTAAATCACAACTCAGAAATCACAACTGAAGGTAATCAATTCATATTACAAATATATTCATGGCTTTGAATTAACCTCTAGCCAAAATAAGTTTATTTACACATTATTAATACAGAAATAAAATAGAAGTTTGGAAAGATTAAACCGAAAGTAAAACATAAGTTGGAAAGATTTAACCGAGAGAGAAAATTGAAGCCTTCTGCTCTCTGTTCCCGCCTTCTGCTGCTCCACTGGACTCTCTGCACGTGTTGGTTCAAAGCTGCAAGGACAGCTTAGCTCTCCTCTCTCCCCGCCAGTCTCTGCGTCTCTCCCTTCTCTCCTCGCTGACCTTTCTGCGAGCTGCCCAAAGGCAGCTCTCTCTCCCGCTCCCCCCTGCGTTCCGTGGACTTGGCTTCTTCTCTCTGACCTCGCTGCCAAAGGGCAGCGTTCTTCCCCCCAAGCTCTCACTTGTGCTGCGCAGGCAGCGTTTTATTTATTTTTCTTTTCCGCTGCACTAAGCAGCTTTTTTCCTCTGGATTGAATCGTGGCCACTTTCTTATTTTAGTTTCCTCCACCTACCACGTTGCACAAGCAGCTATTATTCCTCATTCGTTTTCTTTGTCACGCTGCACACACACCTTTCCTTTATTCTTTTCTTTTTCTTTGTGCTCCCACTAGCTGCAAAGGCAGCTTCTATTATATATTTCTTTTTTCCATGCTGCCAAGCACAGCTTATTATTAATCTTCTCCCCACTAGTTTTCACCAAACTCGGCATCCCTACATCCCACCTGAAACATGAAAGAAATAATTAATTATCATGAATTGGCCTATAATCCGTGACATAATTCTACCAATAACCCATGATAGAATGAGAACGACTAAAGCAATTTTCGACGAATTTATTATTTAAAACTCATTTGTGCCATTTTTATTTTCTTTGCATAACAAATCCTATAAACACAAAAATAACGTAAATAGCTCAAAAATATAAGGAACTAACTAAGAAAAGACGAGTGAATTTGAAGTAAAAATATATATAAATATGATCCGATCACACACCTTATACACTGGAGCTGATATTATGGACTCTGATCCCAATAAAGCATCCAGAATTTCTTTCTTTCATTAATGACGGTAATAAGTCCAGAGCACTGTACGAACCTTCCATATGTGCAAGCTGTGGCCTACTTCCATGCTTAGTAGTTTCTGTGGTTTTTACTCTAATAATGTAGGTTACATTTTAAAAGGAGCATGAGAGAGTCTTTAAGAGAGCAAGTGAAGAGAGAGAGAGAAGTTACAACTAGGGTTGTAAAATAGTTGTTTCAAATCTCAAGCTCTCCCTCTATTCAACAGCTGGCTGCTTCTTGCACTCTCCTTTCACAATAATGCAGGGCACAAAGGACGCCAGGAAGCCCGAGCTTCTAAAGATCCACACAACACAAAAAATAAACTGAATTCTAATCTTGTGCAAACTCATAAGGATGCATTTTGATATGATGACGAGTATCAAACAAAGGATATTGATCCAGTTGTAATCGACAAGATAAAAGATTACCAATTTGTATCCAAATTAAGATTTGATGATAAGGAAACACGATTGAAGTTGAAGAATGATATTGATCTGTTGGAATTAATGCACTAATGTTAAGACTCTAGACATTCCCAAGAACAATTCATGCACTACCCTAAATGTTAAGACTCTAGACATTTCCAAGAACAATTATTCTAGATTCATTGTTCCTAGCCTATGTCTGTTAAGTTACCTAGGAAGAACTCTCTAGTACTTTGTATTCACTACATATATAGCCTTTGGCATATCATTTTGTATCAAGAGAGTTACAATAAGAAGTAATACAAGAGCTCTGCTGTAGCAACTCAGATTTCCCATAAACTTGTTAAGTATTTCCATCCCTCTACACTTCCTACACGATCCACGCATGAGTTTTGGTTGAAATCCCAATTTTGCATACTGCATGTACAAAGACACATATTTTCTATTTCTACAGAAAATTTATCAACATTATTAGTTCATTCCACCATTTAATTTCCATAACTTTCTGTGCAACTAAACACAAAATAAACATGACAGAAAAAACATACAGATTAAGAAGCAAACTTACTCGAATTGATAGGCATAATCGACGAGGTTGATGTTGGGAAAAACAACAGGGCCTCTCGAAGGACATGCATGGAACGATTTTCTCAGAGGAAGACGATTGTTCTCTGCAGGATCAAACATTCTCCTAAAACAATATGACTGATTTGTGGATCAAATTAAAACCCAAAAATCAATCAAAACCCAGAAATCCAAGAAATAAATCAGAATGCAGAAATCCCAGAAGTAAATCAAAACCCATAATCGATTAAACCCAGAAATCGATCAAAACCAGAAATCGTTCAAAACCCACTAATAATTTCACGAATCTTCAAAACAAAATCGAAGAAAATGAAGAAGATGAAGTGGAAGAGGAAGCTCTGAGAGGCTTATGCGGATGCGGTGTTGGTCGAGGAATGGTCCGGCAAGGCTATGGAGCAAAGCGGGATGACGAGAGAGATGACGGTCTTACTAGTCCGCTAGAATTCGAGGGGTCTCGCTAAGACGATCTAGCGAGCCCCTTAGTCGAGGCGAGTGAAGGGTAATCCCACTAAAGCTAGTCCGGTTGTGTAACAAACATAGGATTGTCCTAATTTCTAATCTAGTCTAGTCCAATGAAACCTAGTGAAGGTAAACAAACACACCCTGATAGTGATAGGTAGTGGCTGTCATTTTATTTTCCAAAGGATAAAATATGTGTAGAAAGATAAACATATCATTCTTAAAAAAATGATGAGGGTAAGCATAAATTGAAAATATTCACTAGAGGCCCAACTCCGCTTTTTATGAAAGCAACTTTAAAAAGCAAAGTACATGTTTTTAAAATATGTTGTCAAGAGATCATTGCTTTTAGAATAAGCAAAATATTTTATGTTTACCAAACACTTTTTTATTTCTTTGACTTCAAAGTGAAACAACTTTTTGGTGAAAAGAAAAAGCAATACATAATTACGTCAAAATCAGAGAAATCGGTTTAGGTAAATATATCATCCATGTGCACTGATTTTAGGGTAAATGTTTATTTGGACCATGTTTGGTTGAGAGGATTAATTATGAGAAATTCTATTTACACCTAAAAGTAATATCTAGACTCGGGTTGGGCGTAGTTTGGGTTGGTTTCAGCTTTGGGTCAAAATGATAAACCAAACTGCAACCTTTGATTTGCCTAAATCCCAAATCATAATCGAACCTTAAAGACTTGAAACTGGTGTAATCGGTTCACCAATGTTGTAGTTTTGTTTGGTTCGATTTGCGGTTTACATGCATGTATGTATCTACTACCAGATAAAAAGTTCAAAGCTATGTCAAAGTAAATATTAGAAAAAATTTGTAAACCTTTTTATTTATAAACAAATTCACCATCAAAATGTCAATCTCGGAACTTAAATTGACAATCTAATAACTTGAAAATACTTCATCTCATAAGTCTCATGTTTGATTGCTTTGGTTGATAATTCAAACATTTGTCTAGGAGTTATATAAACAAAATGGATTTATTTTGTTCTATGAAGCGGAAGATGTAAAATTAAGTGCTAAAAGAAATACATATTGCACTAATCCATTGGTCTGAACCACATGTGGTGACTATTAAGCCATACTCAATTTATGTGCTCAAATAGAAATGGTATTGTTGGGACAACCCGTCCCTAAAATTTCGTTTTTTATTTATTTTAATCGAGGAAATTGACGAAAATGCCTAGAAACAAGGATTTTGATTTCTGTTATCGTCTAGAGAAACATATGATTTATTCTTTTGGCGTATTTAAGTAGTACTCGTTGGTACGAACAGATAGGCGAAAGTCGTTTGCGAGTCCGAATTATAACGGTATAGTTACGAATGTTTGAAGTTGGTTATTTAAAGTTAATTAATTGGTTAAGGAGGACCAATTAAATAAAAGGTAGAAAAAGGGCAGCAGCCCAATCAGAAATCAGGAAAGAAGAAAAATAAAAAATAAAAAATAAAGGAAAAGTCAACAAAAATCAATAGTACTCCGACCACCTTTTTCAATTTTCCAGCCAATCGGCAAAGCGATGGCCGATTCCACCATTTGGACTTTGTAGCCCATCATCTCAGGAGCAAAACCCAACCAACCTTGACCACGTTGGACCACCGTAGACTACGAATCGACACTGGGAAGCTTTAGGCACCCGTTGGCTTCGTGGACAAAATTGACCATCTTCCGTCCACTTTTGGACTTCGTGGTAGGTATGAAAGTTGTTCCTCTCTTTGAGAACTTCATTCCCGTAAATTTTGGTAATTTTTGGAAATAGTTGGATTTTCCGGCGAGTCGGGACAGCCGACCGCCACTCGCAATGATGCGTGACCAGGGGGCCGTCGATGTTATTCTTAGGCTAATTAGATGCCTTAAGTTCAGTTTTGGTAATTGTATGACGTAGGTTGATTGTTGGAATCTAAACTCTCTACGTTACGTTAATAGGTCATTGTATGAATCGATGATCCGACCATTGGATCGTCACCAAATTTTAATACGTTATAGTATGTAATATTTGAAAACCATAAAAACTTACAAATCGGGAATCCGACATACAGATCTTCCCGAATTGGATTTGTAAGTTCATAAAATAAAATGTTGACCGCCACTTGATTTTGGGCAATTGGCGGAGATCCGACCGTTGGATCATAATGAAACCTTAGGATGTTGTTCTAGAAGTATAATGTGAATCTTTGGAAGCAACGTATCAAAAATCTGTGATGCAGATCTTCCGAATTGAATTACGTAGGGATGCGTTTTATGTAAATTATGTATTTTATCGGTCAGAACTTTGAGATGTGATTTGATAATTAGTCATAGACGACGATGGTTCGTGATGTCTCGACATGCGTGTTAGGGAGTCATGGCACGGACCCCAGGTGAGTGGGTCTTTTCCATTCTATCGTGTATTATATATATATATATGAATGATAGACAATTCCATAAATGTTTATAAATCGATTATTCCTTATGATAAATGTGAATGCTTTGAAATATTATTCTGAACTACGAATGGCTTGATCCCTGTTTAAGGTACGTAGGCAGTCTAACGAGACGTTAGTGAAGGAAATTTTCTGAAAAAACATGTTCATTTAAGTAACATCTATGGCATGCAATTAACAATTAAAGGCGGAATCATGCTTGTATGCACTCAAAACAAAACATTACCTATGAAATTCAAAGCCTAGTAGTTATGTGAACCATGACTCAACTCAAAAACAAAGTGAGTTGAGAAATTTTATACCTTTGTTGATTCCTTTTTGCATAAGCAAAGGCTAATCACCCAAGGAGAGGGCCTTCATTCCTTGCTTCTTAGCTCCATGGATTTCTTGGATGAGGATGGTTGAAAGGATTCTCCAAGTTCCCAAAGTTGAGAACCTCTAAGTCTCCACACCAAGGTAGGACTTGAAGAAGAGATGAGTGACCTAGAGGAAGTAAGATTGCTAGCTAAAAACCTCTAGGGTGGCCGGCCTCTTAGAGAGAAAATGGAGCTTGTGTTCTCATCTTTTTCTCCAAAAGAAACCCTAATGAAGAAAATGCTATAAAGTCATATTTATACCTACCTTCATTGGAGTGGCAAACTTGTAATAAGTCCAAAACCCACTCCTTTGTCAATATGGTCGGCCATAGGGTTTTATTGGGCTGTTTGGGCCTTTGGGAATTATTAATCATTAAGTTGTCATACAACTTAAGTAAATGCGCTTGACGTTCGAAGCCCATTGGGTCTTGAGGCCCAAAACTAACCCGAGGTCTTTAACGAACTTTATTCGTTTGATTAATTAACATATTAATTAATCCTTGCCATAAATAATTAAACCATTTAATTATCATTACTCATCTCCGTTGTTTCTTCAATCTCTGCCTTACACGGTGTACGATCCATTAGGTTCCTTTTAGCGAGGCAGTGGGCGATTAGAACTCTTTCAAATCGATTGTGAATTGAAACTTACTTTCAATTCTCCCTTTAGTGATTATACACGTTTAGGGCTTCCACAAACCATGAGTGACACCTAGTAGTATGTCATGGTTACCCAAGCTAATCAGAAGAGGTGGAGAACCTATTCAGTTTAGGATTACAATGCAATATGGTATTTCTCTAATACAATACTCTTAACCACATTGTTTGGTTTAATAGTTTATTCATGTATACTATCCAATGTGATTCTCTTACTTATATGATAACCTTGAATGTGATTTGGAACGATTTCCTAAATCTCATTCATACTCTGGCCAAAGATTCTTAATCATATCATAGAGTACTCTCCCTCAAACGGTTTAAAGGTTAGAGATCCCTTGTTGCGCATTCACTTGCCTCCATGGCTAAGTGGCTTAACCCCAACTATGTTGTGGACTCCCTCTGACGGAGTGACTTTGACATAGTCAAAGATCAAGGACCTAACCACAAGACAACTATGATGCCTCAGGTCAAAGGACTACTTTGCATTATCCCAACCATGAGTTCTCATGTGACATGAGTATGAGAACTCCTTGTTGATCGTGTTCAGTGGACTCATTCTCTATTGAGCACTTACATGCTTGTCTTGGTGTCAGTCACACCAATGATACAAGACCAGTCACTCTCCCTAAGAGAAGACATAGCACGTACTGATCTTAATGAACTGTCAATGCCCAATTGGCAATCCTATGATCAGGAATGTTTAGGATATGTATACGAAAGAGAATGGTCTCATGAATCCAACTTCTTTAGATCGCATTCTCCCAATTACATATTCCTTAGACTTATCGTTTAAGCGTATAACATTTATATGAGACGGCTTCAAACAATAATCTTTGCCCTTTATATTAAACTATATTAGTTTAACATGTGAAATGTCCGTAAAGTATCATCATATGATTGGTTTTAGGGCACATTTCCAACAATCTCCCACTTGCACTAGAGCCAATCAGCTTGGTCATCAGTGATGATACCTCTTCTGTAGTGATTTCAAAAATGGCTGAGTAATAGGCCTAGACAATGGATATCTATATGTTAACCATAGAAGCAACCTTGAGAATAACAA